ATGAAACTGGGCCTCCATCAGTCCAAGCGATGCGCTCTCATCGGGTTCCTCCATGTTTGTTGCTGTTAGCGTAGCGCTGACGCATCTGGTGCATCATGGGATCAGTGGACCATGAAATCAGGCGCTGACAGACGCTCCGTGTTGTCTGGACGCAAACTGACATTAAACACGTTATTTTTGTTGTAATTAATTAATCGTAATTAACGCTTTAAAGTATATTAGGGGCGGGACTTTAACGTGTTATTTATGTGTTAATGAACACGTTAAAGCCCCGCCCCTGTTTTTAAGCCAATACAATTCTTTGTTACAGTCAAATTGAACACTTGTGAATACTTGAGATGAGGACATCCTTTCTGAAGTTGTCCTCCATCAGTCCAGCCTGACAAGTTTAGTCTTAAAGCAACACAGAAATGCTGCTAATGAAACGTCACACCTTTAGACAGGAAAGTGTTAACTCACACACGAGATCAACAAATTGTCTGAAATGAGCTCCAGAAAACACAACATTTCTCTTCTCTCAGCTGTAGATGATCTATGTGGCCGTCCTCCTCATCCATCTTCCTCCATCGCTCTCCGCTCCAGCGTCCCTCCGTCCTCGCCATATGCCTGCATTGTTAATTACTCTTAATCCCTTCATTATCTCTCATTGCTTCTTAATCCCTCAGTTGCCTGCTTATCCCTCTACACCTCCCATCACTCTTCTGTTTTCATCCCTCCATCACCCCTCCATCCACACATAACTTTTCCACCATCCATTTGACATCCTTTCATACTTTCATACCTTTTACCAAAGGGCTCTATCCTTTGTTCATATAATAATTTGTGTGTTTCAGATGGTTTGGCCGATTGTATGGATCCAGACTGCTGTCTGCAGCCGTCCTGTCAAAACCAGCTGTATTGTAAAGGCTCACCTGACCCGGGGGAGGTGCTCAGCCAGTCTCCGTCCTCATTGGCTCCTCAGCAGGTTAGATGCTCCGTCCACACATTGGAAAATTAAAGTATAATTTCCTACCAATGGACGTCACTTTCCAGCATAGTAAAGCAACATCTGTTTACGTGTTTCCTTAGGCTGCCAGATCTTTCTACCAGCGTATTCACTTCCTAGTTGGTCCTGAATCCACTCACATCATCACTGGAGACAGTCCGTTCAACAGAAGGTAATCATGTGTTTTGTATTGTTTTAGCTGCAAGGTGGAGCAGTGGTTAGCNGCCTCATTACAGCACATCCAGCTCAGCGCTAACCTGCTGCTTATTGTGGAACTTGTTGTTTTTTAGCTAAACCTCATGACTAGAACCAGCTTAAATCTGTTAAAAAAAACAACTAAAAGCTGACCTTTTAGGAACCTGATTAACTTTGACACCTCAGCCAACTTTCTCTTCCACAGCGGAGCCACAGTCAGAGTCTGTTTTTGCGCTCAGTCGAATGAGCGTGGGCTGTTCCTCGGTTTATTACTAGACCGTGGCATGTGTGTTTGTTTTCATTTTGGCAGATGTTTAAACTGAGAAATCACCTCGGTGTGGTGTAGGAGGATTTCACACAGCAGTGAATAAAACCTGCAATGAACCCAGCCTCATGTCTTAAGAGCCTGCCAACCCTCCTCAGGCTGTCTCTGACTTTCAATGGAGATTTATTGTCCAGCGGCGGTCTCAGTGCTGTTTCAGAGGCTTTTCCAAGCTGAGAGGGAAACACAAAATATGGTGCATTTTTTGGCATGAAAAAAACAAGGAAGAAAAGCACACACACACACACACCATGTACTTACTCAGTGCTCTGGTGCAAAACTATCATTACCTGCCTTCAAAAACGTATAAGGGTTGAAGCCTATTTCACACACTGATGGCCATCCATGTCCCCGTCCTACTTACTCGAGCTGCTCTAACTTTTCTAACTCTGTATTTGTCCTCCCCCCCTGTGCCCAGAGGGTTGCCCAGGTCTGTGCAATAACAACGGACGGTGCACTCTGGAGGCCAGCGGATGGCACTGCATCTGCCAATCAGGATGGAGAGGGGCAGGGTGTCACGTTGCCATGGAAACACTCTGTACCGACGGCAAGGACAACGAAGGAGGTGTGTTTGTGCACATACAGTAAGAGAGGAAGTGGAGACAGATGGTTGATGAACAGATGAGCAGGTATATGTTGGGGTTTTTTTTTAACAGGACAATGACGGCGATAAAAAAAATGGGGGCAGATGAATCCAAATGTCCCTCTGGGAGAACATTAGCTGGATGTCCAGTCTTAAAATCCACGCCGTGCTCTAGGATTACCTTGACAGTCCCACGTGAGCCCTGAGATGTTATGCTGAGTGGTTGATTATGTAGTTTTAAGTTTGTTTAAAGCTCTAAACTCTTACGTGCCTCCACTCCATTTATGCGTAGAAACCTGCAGCATGTGACCAACCTGAAGGTCTGTGTTCCTGGTTAGCTTAACGTACATCCAATCTGCAGCAGCCCAACTGGTACAGGAATGCAGAGCATGCAGTCTGAACCTCGACAGGACAGTGGAAACGCTGGGTCTTTCATTGGTAGTAAATGAGCCGCAGTGTTCCACAGGATCTGGTCCAGTGTTTAAACTGGAAGCGCTGCCAGCAAGAAACATAAATAAAACTCAGCGCTCGTATATTTCTCAGGGAAACCTCCGAATGGAAAAAAAAAAAAAAAAAGACGACATGGAAGTAGTCAAAGTAAAAACATCAGCTGTTTAATTTTACAAAAGAATAAAGCTCTGAGATGCAGCGTGAAGCCCAGGACCAGGTCTGATGAGGACAGGGAGTTAATTGAAAAGATGGAGAGAAGAAGGAAGACGATGGGAAAGAAAAGAAAAGGAGACATGAGGGAGGGGGAGGTGCTCCCGTCGCTCGCTGTGTGTATTTGATGTCAGTCCCTGATGCCTGTTCACCAGATGTACAACTGGCTTTTATAAACTAACAGAGACAAATGGCAGCCAGGATTTTATTACCTTGCATACCTCCTTCTATCCCTCTATCTCCCCATCTGTTTCCTCACTCCTCCTCCTCCTCCTCCTCCTGTCTTGCTCCCTGTCCTTCACTTATCCCTCCCTTCCTAATCTCTCTTTTTCCACCGTTCCATTCCTGCTGCTCATCATTTACATTTCAGCCCTCCACCTTTCTTTCTTTATTCCTCCCTCCTTAACGCCGTCGTTCCTCCTCTTGGCAGCACCCAATAAACACAAACTGCTCACACACTAATTCCTCTACGTCCCTCCGTCTTCCTTTTTTCCCCTCATCAGGAAATCCAGACAACAAGGAGGCTGTCAAACTGCTCTTCTGTTTCCCTTCATACCATTCGCCACACCTCTGTTTCTTTGTTTTTCATGTGGATTCTCTCCATGTCGGCCTTCATTTATCCACTCCCACCTCAGAAGCCCGTCCGTGTTCAGCTGAGCTCATTGAAGCCGTTTCTGGTGCATGTCATTGTGAAGAGGCCGACTTTAATGTTAATATTTCTAATGACATTAAATAAAACAGACAGAACCACAGCATGTGCTAAAGGCAGGTCTGTCATGTTGAACAAAAGGTTTCTAGCCATGTTCTTTCTGCTGCTGTTTACAATTAATTAATTACAACAAAAATAACGCGTTAACAAAACCTCGTGGCTATCCAGGAC